TTCATTGAAAGAATAAATATTCACAATCATCATGAAAAGTCACCTTTAATTGCAACATGAGAATTTGGGAAGTAAATATTTCCCAAGACAAAGCCACTTTTACAACATTAATGCCTTAAACTGGGTGATGGAGATCAAATCTGCATTTCTGAGAACATTATAACCAATTAGTGTATATTCAAACAGTGTTCACACAAACAAAATATCTCTGCTATTAAAAACAACACCTAAAAGATTTCTGACACTACTTTGTCTGCCTTTTCATGCCCTTTATTACCTAATTTCTGCGTGTTGAAAGAGTAAGCAGGATACAATCTGGTCCAAGCAATCTGGGTTTGGTATTTTAAAAAACTCAGAATTCTGCAACATATATACATGTATAGGCCTAAATATCTAATTCCCTTGATAGCTGTAGGATTGAACTAAGCCTTTAAACAAAACCCCAAAGGGATATTTAACAGCTTTAGGACACAGATGCTGATGCAGAATCAAGATAATTCATATGTATGGAGGAAAAGAGAGGTTGCTTTTCATCTTTACCACCTGCAAGATACGATACCACATTAATACATGAATAATTTACTATGCCTATGTCAGTACATGTGCTTGAAGGTGGCCATGTGTAGATGGAGGGGAATGATAATGAACACAAGATAATTTGAATAAAAATTCATAATTTTCCTATTATTACAGATTTGTTTCTGCTTACGGCCTCTTGGAGACAAGAGGAAAACATTACTTGTATAAAACATTTTAATCACTCACACATAGGCATTTATATGTTTCTTATTCACTTCTGGTTTCATCAATTTACAGTAGTTAGTACTCAACAAAACAGAATGTAAGTATAAAAAAGAAACATTACATAGCATGGACTCTGGTTTTCAAAAAAATTTATTTTCAAGTGAGATTGATGATGTATATTATAAAATCAGAGAAACTCAGAAAAAGTACAGGTATACTTTTTTTTAATGAAACCTGACAAAGGTACCTAAAATATACTTTGGAGAAAAGGCACATTTTTTAAACAAATGTTGCTGAAAAAACTTGTTATCCACATATAGAGGAATGAAACTAGACCTTTATCTTTCATCCTGCACAAAAATCAATTCAAAGTGGATCAAAGACCTAGGAATTAGACCACAAACTATGGAACTCCTAGAAGAAAATGTAGGGTCAAAAAAACAATATATTGGCATAGACAATAACTTTCTCAATAGGAGCCCTAAAGCTCAGGAAATAGTCAAAAGTTGATTAATTGGATAGCATAAAACAAACAATGTTTGTATAAATATGTCAAAATATATTTTACTGTAATGTATAATTAAACTAAAAGCATTTAAACAAAATTAAAGGCTTCACAGCAAAAGAGAACTTAAGGAATATGAAGAAAGAATTTCAGAATGGAAGAAAACCTTTGTGAGCCACTCTTCTGACAGAGGATTAATATTAAGGATAAATGAAGAAGAAAACAAATAAACAAAAATCATAAAAAGCAAATAACCCAATTAATAAATGGGGAAATTAAGTAAACAGACACTTTTGAAAAGAAATATTAAAGGTTAATAAATATATGAAAAATATTTAACTCATTAGCAATTAATAAAATGCAAATCAAAACTACACTGAGATTTAATCTCACACCAGTCATAATGGCAGTCTTCAATAATATTACTAATAATAAATACTGAGAGGAAGTGGAAAAAAATGAACACTTTTACAAGTTGCTGGGATGGTGATTATTAAAACCATTATGGAAATCAGTGTAGAGGTTCCTCAAAAGACTAGGCATGAAACTATCATATAACCCATGTATACCAGTCCTCAGTATTTATCCAAAAGAATTTAAGTCATCATACTAGAGTGGCACATTTATACCCATGTTTATAACAACATAAACTATAGAACTAGCCAAATGTCCATCAAAAGATGAATCAATAAAGAAGATGTGGTATATATAAACAGTAGAGTTTTATTCAGCCATAAAGAAAAATGAAATTATGTCATTTCCAGGAAAATGGATGAAACTAGAGACCATTGTGTTAAATGAAATAAGCCAAACTCAAAAGGTGAAGATTTGTATGTTTTCTCTCTTATGTGGAAGGTAGAGAGGAAAGAGGAAAAGAAATGTGGGGGTTGGATATCTCATAAAAATCAAAGGGAGATCAGTAAAGGAAAAGGACCATGCATGAAAGGTAGGAAAGGAATGGGGGAAGAGCTAAGGAGAGATATTGCCCAAAACATCTTGTTATATTGTGTGCATGTACATAACAACAAATCCCATTATTATGTACAACTCTAATACAACAACTAAAAATGTGGAAAGAAACTATACATGTAGTATACATAAAACAAGTGTATGTGTAGCATGTACCAGTACTTTGTCAGTTTTGTTCATTTGGTTCATTAAATTTTTAATTATTTTGAATTATTACTGCAATAAAATTTGGATTTGTTTTTGTAATATGTAACAAGCCCTTAACTCCTTAATTGAATAGAACTTTTCAAAGATAAAGTTTTATTGTGTATATCAAGATTTACAAGATGATGTGATGCGATACATAACAAAGAGCAAAATAGTGATTATAGTTAAACTGATATCTTACCTCACAGTTATATTTTGATGGAATAATTGTTTTGTATAGATAATTATATTGAATTTTGTTTATATATTCAGAAACTTAAATATACTTATAGTGTCTTTCCACTTTTTAAGTAATATTGCTACAATAAACATTCATGTGTAACTTTTTGTTCTGACATATGATCTCAGTGATGATGGATTTATACACCACAGTTAAATGTTGGAACCTATCATCATTACAATTACTGTGTGATGGTCTAAATTTTTCACAGCTCTGGTACAATTATACATCTCAACAGCAATATATCAACATTTGCTGATTTCTTTCTAGTTTTAGTTATAGCCATTTTAGTAGGTGTAATGATATGTTATTGTGGTTTTAAATAGAATTTGCCTAATGAATAAAACTATCAAGCATATTTTCAGTTATTTGTTAGTGATTTGCATAACTTCTCATAGATATGCATATTCAAGTCCTTTGTTGCTCAAGTAAAGATATGACACATAATAAGACAAATGATAAACTGTTGAATTAATTCCTACCATATTCTTCAAAAGACTAGGGATGAAACCACTATGTAATTAAGTTATCCTATTCCATGTTATTTATCCAAAAGAACTCAATTTAGCACACTGCACTAATATGAGAACATCAAATATAGCTGCACAATACACAAAGCCAAGGTATGAAACCAGCTCTCAGTGCCCTTCAGTAGATGAATAGATAAAGAAAATATGGTATGTATGTATGCACAATGGAGTTTTACTCAGTCATAAAGAAGAATGAAATTATGGCATTTGCTGGCAAATAATGGAACACCACGCTAAGTGAAATAAGCCAGGCTCAGAAAGTCAAGGGTCAAATGTTTTCTTTAATATGCAGAAGCTAGAATAAAATAAGGGGAAAAGTATGTGTATGGTGGGGGTAATCTCCTGAAAATAAAAAGAAGATCTGTGGAGTAGATAGGGATTGAGGGAAAAGAGACCAGCAATGATAAAAGGAATGTAATTGACCAAATTATGCTAAGCATGTAAGTAAATATACAATATGGAATTCTATTTGTGTTTATGTTTATAAATCATCAATTTAAAAACAAATAAATAGAAGGAATACCAATAGAGTAGATGAAAGGGGATGTGAGAATGAAGGAGAGAAAGGAAAGAGAAAATACTGGGAACTGAAATGGAGCAAATTACATTCTATGCATGTGTGATTATGTCAAAATTAACACCATTATAATGTGCAACTATAATGCAATAATAAGACATTTTTTAAAAGACTAGAAACAGAATCACCTATGACACTGCAATATTGCTCTTTAATAATTATCCCAAATAATTAAAGTCAGCATAATATAATGACATATAGATGCAAACCCATTTTTAGATGTATATAGACACAATACATATTTTATTTATTTATCTTTATGTCATGCTGAGGATCGAACCTAGTGCCTCACTCATGCAAGGCAAGTGTTCCATAACTGAGACACAACTCCAGTGTCTATATATGTTTTATATCAGTGCAATTCAGAATACCCAATATATTTAACCAATCTATGTGTCAGTCAATAGATGAATTCATAAAGAAAATGTGATAACACAACAAACACACACACACACACATACACACACACACACACACACACACACAATGGAGCTTTATTCAGCCTTAAAGAAGAATAAAATTATGACTTTTGAAGGAAAATGAATGGAAATTTAGAGTATTATATTAAGTGAAATAAGTCAGACTCGTATGGCCAAGCATTGTATATTTTCTCATATGTGCAAGGTTAGAAAATAATGGGTGAAAAAATGGGGTTCTCATAAATTATAAGGAAGGCATAGAGCTGAGAAAGGGAATTCATCGGCAGAAGAAGAGAGGAAAAGAGGAAGGACTGGGGAGTGAAAGTGACTACTTTTGTTATATGTGTGTACAAATATGTCACAATGAATCTTATTATTACATGTAATTATAATGCATCAATAAATATCAATTAAAATAGCTCCTATTTTATCAATAATTACATCAAAATAAAAGTACTATACACTCACCTAATAGTAGATATTTATAAATATTTGCTCTAACCATATTTACTCAACATTATTTGAACATTCTAGTCATGGAAAATACATAATATAATAAATTGTAAATTCTTCACATCTTCCCCTTGGATTTCTTGAAAGAAATAGCATCATTATGTTACTCTTGTAATGAGATTTTTGCGGGTAATACAGAGATTTCAAATATTAGCTCCACATGTATTGTTCAGAAGCTTTTGTTGCTGCCATAGCTTTCCTATGAAAATTGAAAAGATACTACTGTATTTCTAGTATTAACTTTTCATATTTGCAGTCACTGAACGCTGTAGTGGGGTAACTATGTGGAGAAAATAAAAAGCGTGTCTTCTCCATGTTAGTTGCTCTTGATGTTCAGCCTAAGCAACTTGCATAAGCCCTGCCTGAGCTCCTTGTTCTTGAGGGCATACACCATGGGGTTGAGAGCAGGAGGAATAACATTGTGTAGCACATTGAGTAGAACTGGGATGAGGGGGAGTTTCATTCCTCCACTATGAGTGATGGAAATAACAACAATGACAGTATAGAAGAAAAGAATTAAGATGAGGTGGGAAGTGCAGGTATTTAGGGCTTTAGATGCAGCTTCTTTGGAGTTGAGCTTCAGTACAGACCGAAGAATCAAAGCATATGATACAATAATCAAACCCAGGTCACTTCCCATAATCAGCCAAGCCAGAAATATTTGATTGATACTATTGATTTTCCTGTCATCACAGGAGAGGCTAGTGACTCCAAGATTAGTACAAAAACAGTGCTCAATTTGATTATGAAGACAGTAATTTTTCTGAGCAGCTAAGATGGGCACTGAAATTGGACTTAGACAGTTTCTAACTGCCATGAACAAGGTTGCTTTGATAACAAAAGAGTCAGTAACTATTGATGGATATCTCAATGGTCGGCAAATGGCTACATACCTATCTATAGCCATGCAGACAAAGATGCCTGACTCCATGGCCACAAAAAAATGGATGGCATACATCTGAGCAAAGCACTCAGGGAGGCTGATGGCCTTAGCACTGAACCATAAGATGGCCAAAATCTTAGGCATGATGGTGGTAGCCAGGCCCATGTCCACCACAGCCAGGATGCCCAGGAAATTATACATGGGCTGATGCAGACTTGCCTCTTGGTAGATGGTAGTCAGGATCAGGATGTTGGCCCCAAGGGCTAAGAGGTAGAGCAGAGCCAGGGGAAGTGAGAGCCAGTGCTGCCAGCTGTGGATGCCTGGGAATCCCATCAGAACAAATTCAGAGACCTGGATCTGAGAGCTGTTGGAATCTCTGAGATCCTGGAACATCCTTTAGTAATAGGAAAAAAAAACTGAATGTTACACCTCTTAAATATCAATCTGAGAGTGTTGGAAATTGTCTGAGCCAGGATCATGATATTAAAGAGAATTTAGTATCCTTCATGTTCTTATCCTTATACTCCCTTTTTTTTACTTCTTTCTTATGGAAAAGGAACTCTAATAGGAGACACAATCCATTCATTTATTCAATAAACCATTTTAAAATTCCATCAACTTGGTAATATTTTTCCATGTTTTTAACTAAAGGACTGACTATTATAGAAAATCAGGACTGTTAAAGATCATTCATGTTGTAGGTCATAATAGCAGCAGAGGATGAAAGTGATCTGATATCACAGTCTGACAGTGAGGTTTGGCTTTGGTAATGAATTGGTTGTTTTAGAGATCTAAAGTGCAGACACAATAAAGGATTTTTTTTATGTATGAAACTTCTGTTGATGGAGGTTACATAATAATTTTTAAAGTTATGTATTTGAGATATTACGAACTTGTATGTATGTAGAGATATATATTTAAACAAAGATATTTTTATGTTAGAATTAATGATGGTGGAATTAAGCTAGACATATAGATGTGGTTTTAATAGTAAATATTTACGTGATATTGGAGATTGAACCTAGGGCATCACATACACTGGGCAATCACTGCAACAATGGCCTACATCCCAGCTCCTAATAATTAATTTTTTTATTCATAGATAACATGCATGCACAAATGTATGCACAGGCCATGCATACATAAAGTTCTCTGCATGATTACACAGTGAAAACACTTGTTTAAACAAGAAAGAGACCAGCTTCTCTTATACCCCACTGAAAATTGCTTTCTCCTTTCCTTGTCCCGAAAGGTAAGCAAAATCCTAAGAGCTAAATGTTAGATAAACTTCATCTTTTATACAAGAATTTTAATACAGAATTTTAAATCCAAACAAAATAAATAAAATAGTATAATATACCTGTCTCTTATCTTCAACATTGTCACTAATTGCTGAAAAATTGCAATCTTGTTCATTTCTCTCTTAATCAGATTTTTTTTTCCCTGTGGTCAAAAAAAAACAAAACAAAACAAAAAAAAAAAAAAACGATGAGAACAACTTTAGAGGAGGAAAAGCTTATTTGAGGGCTCACAGCCTTGGAGGTCTCAGTCCATAGATGGTGGCCTCCATTACTCTAGGCTAGGGGAGTCAGAACATCATGGAAGAATTGTGTGCCACAGGAAAGCAGATGAGAACAAAGCACCAGGAAGCAGAGAGTGAGGTCCACTCAACAGGAGCAAAATATTTACTTCATAGCCATGTCCCCAGGGATGCACCTCCTCCAGCTACACCCTACCTGCCAACATTTACCACCCAGTTAATCCCTATTAGGGAATTAATGTAGTGATTTGGTTAAGGCTCTCATAACACAGTCATTACACTTCTAAACTTTCTTGTATTGTCTCACTCATGAGCGTTTGGGGGACACCTCAAATCCAAACCATAACAGTCTCTCTCAATAAATTTGACTTAAGAGTCAACTCTTAACTATTATGTGTTGATGTAACAAAAACAAGTAGAAAAAATGGGGAAAACATAGATGCCCTTAGTTGATAATAGGATATATATAGCTGAGGTGACATTTGTTGTATTCTCAAAAGTTTATATTCCCAAACTTTCTCTAAATATCCTATCTGTGTCTCTCATCACACCTTCATAGTTATAATTTTAATTGGTAATATTGGTTTTAATGTAACAAAAGTCTATGTCTCATGTTCATTGTATTTTTAAATCTCTGGGTTAAAATTCTAACTGATACCAAGTAATATAGAACTAAGAACAAATTAAATTAGACATTTTACAATGCATCTAAAATTCTTTTAATACCATATGACTTTACATTTCTGCAGGGAAAATGGGCACACATTATTCTGTGTAAGGTCAACTGAAATAATAACTCTGAACAAGAGCATCACTGCTTACAAAATATTACTTTGAAAGCATCCAGTGTTTATTCTCACTTCAAAACCCATAAATAGTAAGTTTATTTCCTCAGTTGATCATACTCAATTTTTTTCAACCCAGGTTCTTCTGTCCACGTGACTGTGGGCTTATGCCAGTCACTTCTGCTAAGATGAGTGAAACATAGTCAAATCTAAGTCTATGTTGAGAAGAGCAGTTTAATTAGATTCTTCTCTAGAGGGACAAGGAAGGACAGGTAAAAACAATAGGGTACTGGCCGTGATTAACAACACTTCTCTAGCTCTTTCTTCTTGTCATGGGTGATTCTGTTACAGAGTGCATGAGAATTACAAACTACCACACATACTGAGCCGAATAGAAAGGGGAGAAAAGTCCTTTAATGAGTATGGCAGGCTACCACCTCAAAGAACTCCCAGCAACTGAATGTTGGAGGTATAGAGTTCATAAAGGCAAAAATCACAAGAACAATTAGCACATATAGGTCAGAAAATCTCTGTTGAGACAGATATTTGATTACATGAGAAAATCGTTTGATGACACATTTCAGAGTCTTCTTTGTTATACATAAGGGCCATTGTTAGGGATGCAGGAAGGTCCTACTGTACTGTCCACAGAGATCCAGATGTCAGGAGGCTGAAAAGAAAACCTTTTAAATAATCATAAAATGGAGTCAGGTCAGAACAAAATGGCATTAATTTGGTTCTTTTCCATTTCAATTTACACCTGATTTCCACCATTTCCAATACTGTCAATTTGTCTAGGGAAAACAAATATTCATGCTCATTATGAAAAGTAGCACTGTATAGAAATCTAAGAATTGTAAAAAGTAAACATTTTCAAAAACAAAAGCAATCTTCTTAATGTTGTCTGTTTTTAAACTAGGTGGGTGGAATAAAAACTGTATTTCTGAGGTTATAGTTACCAATTAGGTTATATCCAAAGTAGCTCTCGCCAATTATCTACTAATACCAACAAAAAATACTTTGTAAGTAGTACCCACTTTGCATGTCCTTTAACACCTCAGTTTTGAATGACAAAACAGGGAGATGGAAACAATCTTATTTAGCTATTCTGGGTCTTATTCAAACAATATAGAATTCTACTATATATATATATATATGCCTGGTATATATATATATATATAGTAGGTACATATATATATATGCCTGGTACTCACTGTCTAAATCCTTTGATATCTGTAGAATTAAACTGAACCTTTAAAGGAAAGTGTATCGTATATATCCTGAAGGATATATCAGAGTTAGTGTGGAAACAACATTAAGTTTAGGGAAGTGGAATAAAGACTTCAGGAGCTTTCTATGGCCTATATGATAATACATAAAAAAGTGAAATAATTTCATTTGCGTGTACCTATGTGCATGCTTGCACGTGAGCATATGAACACTGAAGGGAGTGAGAATGATCATGTTATTTTTAATAAAAATTATGATTTCAATAGTATTTTCGAGACATTTCTTTGTATTTAAGGCCTTGTGAGATACAAAATATTTAAGTACAAAATGATTCCGTCATTCACATTTGAGGATTCATATATTCCTGTATTCATTTCCTTTTGGTTTTGATGTTGTTACTGAGTTACTTATGCTCTTTCCAAAACATGTGCTAAATACCACATGAAACTCTGTCATCAAAATTTACTTAAATTTTTTCTTATATAGTTTGTTTCATTGTGTCATATATTGTACATGCTTATAACATGGTTACATTCACTCCCTATTACCTCCGTTTTGTCTTCTTGTTTCTCTACCCTGATTCCCTTCATTTACACTAATAGTGTCACATTCACATTCATAATATATATCCCTTATTTTTTTTAGTTTTATCATATGAGAGAAAATATGTAATATATGTCTTTCTGATTTATTTTGCTCAACATGATGATCTCTTTTGCAGGAGCAAATGGCATAATTTCATTCTTCTATGAGACTGTCAACAGATTAATTGATAAAGAACACAAAAATACAGAACAGATTGTCATTCAGATGTAATGAGTTACGAAATTCTTTCATCTGAAGGAAAATGAATGAACTGGAAGATATCATGTTAAGCAAAATATACCAGATACAGAAAGGCAGATATTGTGTTTTTGCTCACATATGGAAACAACAAAAAATGGGATCCTGAAAGTAGAGAAGGGGATAATTTCCATAGGATTCAGGGTGTAGAAGAGGATAGAACTGCACAAAGCTCCATATGTGCAATATGGGAATGCCACAATGAATACAATTTATTTTTACAATTAATATGTGTTAATTAAAAAGAACAAGGGCAGGATTAATACAACAAAGCCAAAGATAAAGCATAAGAATAGATAAGATTAGTGGAAAGAAAATCTTACATGTAAAAATATTATTAATATAGATACATCTCTGGGAAATAAGGAAAATTCAGAGCGTAAGTCACATTTGAGCTCCCTCCCAAGTAAAATCACTCTGCAACAAATAAACTACATGAGTTCAATATAGAGTGCCAATCAAATTACAAAAAATAGCTCCTAACAAAATTGACAATAAAAAGTAACACAAGAAATACAAATACAAATAGAGCAAATTTACTGAAGAAGTTAATATTTCATTCAAACCAATACAGCTCACTGTTTTTCTTCTAATAAGTAAATATGCTGTAAAAAAACTAACAGAGCCATATTGTTTCTCTATTTTGATGAGTACACTTCAAGATAGATTATTCTTGGATTATGTAAAGTATCACCAGGGCTTGGTAAAATAGGAAAAGATGTTCAATTCATTTGCAAAATATTTAACACTAATTTCAAAAGCAATTTCATTACAGACAGTATAAACAAAATTATGCACATAGTTTCTTCATGATTTTATAAAAATATAATTGAAATATTAGTTATCAATAGTTATGTTTTGAAATAAGATTATGATCACAGCATGTTCACCACAATGATAATGCATGATTTACCAGGCAAAGTTCACTTTTAAATATTTTTACTATATTAAAATTAAACTAAGAATCTTATAGTTATCTTATATGCACATAAAGCATAGAAAAAATTGATTTTATAGAGTTCTATACTGATTCATAAGAAAAACACTCAGTTGAACCAAGTCTTGTTAGCTTAAGAAAGTATATGTACAAAACCCAGTATGCATGACACTCAACTGGGACTATTTAAAATCATTCCCATCTGCTTCAAAAGCAAGGCAAAGATATTCAATGTCATCATGTAACTCTGGTGCTTGTGATATGTCTTCAGCACGGAAAATATGAAATGATTAGTGTTTCTGAAGTAAAAAAAAATGAATTGATCAGTGTTTCTGAAGCAGTGTTTCAAGGCAGAAGAAATAAATAAATAATAGTGTTTTTTGTTTTTGTTTTTCTTTTTTTGATAGAGTTTCTGAGAGGCTCTGTTAGATGAGAACAGAGAACTATCTATGCAATTTAACATGAAAGGCACAGGGTAAATTGACAAAAGCAATTCAAGATAACTGGGAGGAATGGCAAGTTCAGGAAGAGTGATTTTGGTGGAGAAAATGAAGAAAGTGAATGTTAACTTTTTTTTTCTTTTAACAGAAGCCTTCCTTTAATTAAATAGTTAAAGGGGTGATTGAATTTTGAGTAGTGGCATGGCTGTTTCGTAGGATTTTTAAATAAGAATAACAGAAAGAAATACCATTATTAAATAGAAATTCATGAGTATATGTAAATTGATTCAGGTGAATAAATTTGCATTCTTTTTTGTTGAATGGAGAGAGATTAAATCATTGACTTTATTGTGTATTCTTATTTAATTGGTATCACTTTGGTGACATTAATATCAAACACTATTTTTTTATTTGTTCTAATTAGATATGCATGACAGTAGAATGCATTTTGACACATCATACATAAATAGAGTATAACTTATCATTCTTTTGGTTGTACATGATGTAGAATCACATCAAAACACTATTTTTTTAAGTCTGTCCTCTAATCATTAATTTGTAAAAATCTTAAAAATTAGAGAATGTAGCTTATTTCATGACTTTCCTTCTCAAATAGGAAGAAGGAAAGGTATGTATTTTTGTACCTCCCTTATACTATGTTCTTATGATAATATTTATTTTTATTTTTCTTAATGTAAGTAAAGGACGTCTCTATCTCTCTAGTGTGTTTGATTTTGAAGCTGATCTTGGAAAGAACTATATATCTCTTTTGTCTGTAGGAAAGTGTATTGTTTGGATCAAGTTGGGAGAAATGTGGTCAGCTGACATATTTACAAATTAAAACTCCAAAAAGTGAAATTTCACACTAAAGTCCTCATGTATGTTTCATAGCTTATCCATTAGGAAGACTGCATTGTGACAGTGGAGGAATTTTGGTAATGACAGCATGCATTTTCCAGGGGAAAGTCACAACTGCCCTTCAAACTGGACATTCTGATCACTATTTTGGAAACAAGATGAATTAGCATATGGTCTCATGATCTCCACCCTCTGGACACTTCTACTGAAAATTGACTTCAATTCCCCTCATATTTGTTCATGGAAATGTGGATTAAATGTAAGAACAGTTCTTCATAGAATTGTGGAGAAGAAAAACTCAGAGAAAGTACCTGTTAGTGACTTGGAATTTGAGGCTATTTAATAGGAATGTACCATTGAACATCCTCTTGTCATGGACAAAATGGGATTCTTAGGAAGGCATCACTAGCCTCTGACTAAATAAGTAGAAAAAATGTATCATTTTTCCTATTCCCTTTCCCTGGATCCTCCTCCCTTTTCCTGGGAAATGTGTCTTTCATACACTCTGGGATTTGATCTCCTTAGAACCTGAAAGGATCTTCATGACACAGTCTCGTATTTGCTTTGTTTTTACCCCATAGACAATAGGGTTCATGGTGGGAGGCAAAAGCAAATAAATATTGGCCACAATAATGTGGCAAGATGGAGGAATTGTGTGGCCTCCAAGATGGTTAAAAAAGAAACAGAAGAAGGCAGGACTTTAAGAGAAAACAATGGCA